TTGATGATATTTTTTCGTTAAATAATCAAGAATTCTCTAACTTTTACCAATTGGACTTAATTAAATAAATCAAATATTAACAGCAATAACTGTCCTTTCCTAAATTTAGATATTTCAGTATTACACCAGAAACTCTACACACAAATTTACGTCAAAAGGCACGATTTTTCGTTCCTTATTGTTAGTTTTCCTTTTTTGGACTGTGATGTTCCTTTGGCACCGTTTTACGGTGTTTATATATCCCAACTTGTTCGCTATGCTCGTGTCTGTTGTGACACTTTGGATTTCAATGAGCGTAATCTATGTATTACTAGTAAATTATTAAGTCAGGGATTCCGTTACCACAAATTACTTGAAACCTTTACTAAATCCTTCAATAGATACAAAGAATTTGTTTGCAATTTGGCTGTACCTGTATAAAACTTATTTCAAACGGAAAATCACATCTTATATTTTACGGTGAATCCGAGGTCGGGAATTAAGATACGATCCGGGTAAACTTATCAATCCTTTAAATAAGATTTTTCTAAAAGGTTACCTATTCAACACTGTAATTAAATCTTTGAATACTAGTATTGTCTTTATCGGTATAAATATTGATTTTGTTTTCAGTAAATTAAACCATACAAAATATTACACATATGTACTTTCATGTTTTTACAATCTGTCGATAACTATATTCTGACATTGCACAAGGTCATGTTTTTCTCTGACGTCTTTACACTAAATCCATTGGATGTTGGATGTGTACTGATTGATATTTTAGTCTAGATACATGATTTTTATATTAGTTGTTATTGGCTTTGTACTAACTGTCAGTAACTGCGCGTACTCTCAGATCTGTACTTAGTATCTTTTTGTTGTTAGGGATGATTGATGGATATATACCCTGCCACGTCCTGTCTGTGTTTTGTTTGGTGTTTTTCTTTGTATCGATCTGATGAGTTAGGTCTTTTTCAACTGATTTTTATCGTTTGTTCACCCAACTTTCCTAGGTTAGAGGGAGGGTTGAGTGCTCACAAACATGTTTAACCCCGCCACATTCTTTATGTGCCTATCCCAAGTCAGAAGCCTGTAGTTCAGTGGTTGTCGTTGGTTCATGTCTGTCATATTCGTTTTTCCTAAGTTGTTTTGTCATGAATTAGGCCGTTAGTTTTCTCAATTGAATTGTTTCATATTTTTCAAGGACGTGCGGTTGCTTATAATTGGTTACAACCACTTCATTTGAACTTTGGTGGATAGTTGTCTCATTGGCAATCATACCACATCTCCTTATTTTTATATTTATAACATTATCCTTTTGAAGATTTTTCAGATTCCTATTTTTGATAAAATTGATAAAATGTTCTCTGTTTAATACTTATTAAAAAAAATATAAAAACAACACGTTATTAACTCCATGCGTCCGAATCGCTTTTCTGGATTTATTTTCATCAGGAAAGCTTAAAGCCCAATATTTTAAAGCCGGGGATTTTTAAGAACCGAAACAGTTGAAGAGCTGTATGACCAAAAAGTACCGAAAAAAAATAGCCAAATTCATCTAAGGTCAACTTTGCCTGAGAGAGTTGAAACCTTAGTTTATTTATAATTTCAAAATTTATAAACGGACAATTTTAGAAAGGTTTGTTATAAATCATGACAGTACCGAAGTACTGACTACTGAGCTGATGATACCCTCGGGGACTGATAGTCCACCAGCAGAGGTATCGACCCAGTGCTGTAAAAAATGAAAACAACACGTTATTAATTCCATGCGTCCGAAGCGCTTTTCTGGAATTACCTTCATCAGGAACGCTCAAAGCCGAATATTTCAAAACCGAGAATGTATAAGAACCGAAACAATGTTAGATTAAGTTTGGGATCAACACGGTTTATTACATTTAACAGTACTAATTTTACTACAAAATACTCTCATCTCGAAAATTAGTGATGATCGATGACAAACTGACAACTCCACGGCAAAAAACGGTATAAAAAACACAACATAGAAAACCTATGACTGGGCAACACGTACCCCACCCAAAACCGAGGGTGATAATAGGTGGTCGGGAAGGGTTAGCAGATCTTGCTCCATATGTGACATTCGTAGTATTACTCCTATAAAAGTAATATCAAGTGGTCATTCGTCACGCAATAGCGGATTGGTAATTGACCCTTATCTACCATAAAACATCACCAAATTCGTTACCCATCAGTCATATACTTTTTTTACCCTGAAACTTTACCAAACGTGAAATGTACGTATAAACTCGGTGATACTTTCGGGGATTTCAAATTCGAGGAAAAGAGAAAGGTATCGTGGCCACAATTGGAACATATCAGTCGTCATCTGTGAAACATTGAAGAGCTGATAAAATCAAAAAGGACCAAAAATACAGCCAAATAAAGGCAACAGTAGTATACCGCTGTTCGAAACTCATAAATCGATAGAGATAGAAACAAATCCGGGTTACAAACTAAAACTGAGGGAAACGCATCAAATATAAGAGGAGAACAACGACACAACAAAAACACAACATTAAAATGTAACACACACAGAAACGAACCATAATGTAACAATAGCCATTTTCCTGACTTGGTACAGGACATTTTAAGAAAAAAATGGTGGGTTGAACCTGGTTTTGTGGCATGCCAAACCTCCCGCTTTTATGGCAACGTCAAACACAACACCAAAACGACAACATCACATGACAGGACCACAATACAAATAAATGGGAGAACATATAGGACAAAGAAACACACGAATAATAGCTAACAAAAGGTACTAGGCTTAAAATTCAATACGCCAGACGTGCGTCTCGTCCACACAAGACCAACCAGTGACGCTCAGATAAAATAAGTTTGAAAGCCAAAACAAGTACAAAGCTGAAGAGCACTGAGGACCAAAACTTCCAAAAAGTTGCGCCTAACACGGCCAGGGTTTTCTGCCTGGGACAAGAACATCCTTATTATTTAGAATAATTTATAATTTTGCAAACAGTAAATTTTATAAAATGACTATATAATAGATATACATGATAAAACCGAAGTGGGGACTAACTACAGAATAAAAACGGATACATTACATAAAACAACTTAATCCAACACATAAAAATATACAGCCGAGTTAGCCAAAGCCTCAACGCACAAAGTGACGGCACATTTGAAATTCTAAAAAAAACACACAAAGTGACGTCACATTTGAATTTGTAAAAATATTTCCCAAAAATAAGATAGGATTAGGATTGATTCAAGATAAGATTTGTAATACTGACATTACATTTATTAATAACAATGAAAATTACAATACTTATTAATATCAAATTGTGGTAGTAATTAGATAATTAATTGTATTATCTAGCTATGTCGATGTTTCTTCTGAATCAAACTGTAAACCAAATATATCGTATAAATTTCGTTGAACCAAACTAAAATCTAATAAATGAAGGGGGTGATTAATTATCTTTACCATAACACACGAATATAACAGAAAAGACGTTAAGACATTTGACAAAATCCGACGAGAATAACAAATATAACATCAAAATTAAATACATGAATTTGGGATAGAAAAGTACGGTGACACGTCTTATAGCAATGCGGTTTCACACTCAGCAAAACAGTCACAATCGGGAATAAGTCACGTTCGGTAATTAAAAGATCAGACGACGTAATGACAAACCACAATCTAACACGTGGTAAAAATGTCCTTAGTTAGTTTGGACAAAGACACATCGTATGGATCAACCAATTCGTGATGGTGTCCGTAAAATTTACGGAGTGTCATTTTTAATCTGTCCTCCTCATAACTTTGTTGGAGCACTTTCTGCGTAAGGAGCACACTCCTGTATATGAAGTCCGTATAGTTAACAAACATAGTTAATTTATATGAAAATACATATTTATTCAAGACATTTAGACAAAAAAGTTACCATCCGATGTTTCATATACATTGACATTGACATTCTGTAGAATATAATCCATTTGAGAGGGATATTTTCGTTAATATCCTTAGTATACAACAGAAAATTTAATTGTAATCACTACGCCTACAGTAATATAATGCCTATTTCTTCTGACGTAAATAGCTATCCTTCGGAAATAAAATATTTATAATTTCTGAATTACAAGAAGTGTAAAAAGTGCTATCTATATTTGAAGATCAGCGATTCCTGAAAGTGGTGTAATTAACTGACAAATTGGTTTTCTTTCATTCAAACATTACGTAACAAATAAAATGTGTGTTAATTTGAAAATGCTAAATATTCATTTGTGAAACCATTATTTCGATTAATGCATGTTTCCCTTATATCACTTTTTTCAAATACGAAAATAATTGAGTTGTTCCTCTTTACTCGTTGGCATCATAGTAGGACTCACTAAAGTATACTTAATCCATTATTTTCCGTTAATTTCTTAACTGTGTTCTTTTGTTTTGTCATTAAACCAGTGTCCAAGGTAATGAAGGATTGATCAGTCATCAACATGTTTAATCCAGACACATTCTGTATGTGCCTGTCCCAAGTCAAAAGCCTGTAATTCAGTGTTTGTCGTGTGTTGTTTTCTGACATATTCGTTTTTCGTTTATTGTTTTGTCGTAAATCAGGCCGTTGGTTTTCTCAATTGAATTGTTTTACATTTTGTCATGTTGCGGCCTTTTATAGACGTCTATGCGGTATGGGTTCGGTCACTGTTGTAGGTCGTACGGTGACATATAGTTGCTACGACATTTGGACTCTGATTGATTGTTTCATTGGCAATCATACCACATCTCATTATTTTTAGATCATTTTCCTTAATATAAAAACTCATTCTGAAACTGACTACATTGTCTTCAAGCGATTGACTTTTTCACTTTTTAAATATACATGTAATAAAATGCAGAATTGCTTGATCGAACAAAACATTTACTTTGTTACCTCCATATTAAAGAGTTCGTATTCATCCATTGAATGTTTACCCGAGTGGCAAATATAGTGGATATGGTCTATCAATTCAAGACACAAAATCACAACGATCACTTGAAAAAAAATAAGTAAAAGCGTTTAATCATAAGACTAAGTAATTGGTACGGTGTGAATAGAAAATGTTATATCAATTCATTACAATACGTCTCATCTCCCAATGATACAAAGAACAACATTGCGTAAGGGTAACCATATACATATAAAGAGAGTCATTCTATAATAATTATAAGTGGCAATGACATTAGATCAGTACAAAGAATCTGTTTATTATAAAATGCATATATACATTATTTACACAATATAATATTTCACCTTCTATATAAATAAGACATTTAAACAGGTTTCTGCACAGCTACGAATCAAATTGATATCTAAAAATAAAATTGCTAATATCCGTTGATCATTTAGAGACATTAAACCAACATAAAATAAATCTTCCTTAATATCGTCAAATAATCGACTTGTTAAAACTACATGGAATTCATCTTCGAAAATATTTTTACACGTGTCACTATACTTCGTAAAAGTTTATTTTTAAATCTTCCTGTTTCGATTCTTGATGGTGGAAATAACATCAAAATGAATCCAATTTGTAAATGGCATTGGAAATTTACAAATTGAATACGTTTCATTTTCGAATCTTTTCTAAATGAGTTATATGTACGAAGTTTAATGCCTCTTGCTGTAAAAGTATTTTTCCACTGATCATCATAATATATAACATTTTAGACATAATACTATAAACAACTGAGGTATAGACAATACATTCTGAAATGTTACACAACTGTTCTACATTGTACTCAAAAAAATTTTTCATACATAGAAATGTAATTGTATTTCATATTTCATATTACATTCATTTACATAACGCATATACATAGATTCGTATCATTTTGTCTTTGAATAATTTAAATTTGGATGTAACACGTCTTCTGATTGGCTGAAAGTTTTTTGTCTATCAGCTCGTAGACATAATTTTGTCATGTGACCGTGACGTCATTCACGTTTTTTTTTCATGATTTTCTCCTTGAAAATGGAATTTAAAATTAAATTATTAAAGGAATGACTGCAATATTTGTTCTGTCTATTCGAAATAAACTAAAAAATGCAGTGCACACTTTTAAATAACCCGCGCAGTTTGCACCACATTTCTGATGTTATTTCTTTATAGACAGAAAAAATATTACAGTCATGGAGATTACCCTTAGACTTACTATGACATTTTAAACTAAATGAAACCTTATAATGATGTAGCTATGTGTTCGTTGTTAAAACTTATCCTTTTGGGCTGTTGTTATCGTTTGTGCATTAACGTTTAAACGTGAAAACGCTCCATGGCAAAAAAATAGGAATTTACGAAAGTCCGAATAAAATAAACCAAAAATGAAATTAAGGAACGTAAAACCATGTTTTAAATAACCATGAAATAAAAAAAAACGAAAATAAAAATATGTATTGAAACAAAATAAAAAAAGACTACTATAACTATTGAGCAAAACGAAGTCAAAATAAATTCAAACGTAAGCTTTTGGTGCTCTTCAAGTGTAAATAACTTCAGTTAAATAAAGTTACAGTACTAGTATTCATAGTTTACAGTTCAAAGAAAAAGTGTTTGGTTGATTTGGTTTGGTTTTATAATGATTTGAAATGCCATTACAGCTTGACAAATAGGTTACTACTAGGAACATGGATTCACTCAGTTGATATGGGACCCGACTTCCTCTATATTTAGGTTACTGTCTACATGTGTTTTATGTACTGGTGTGGGTTTTATTATCTTTTTTGTCCATTGTTTTGTCTGTCTTTCGATAACTTAAGGTTATTGAAGGTTTATTTGTTGTTTTCCTAATATTTTGCTTAATGTTATTCCAAAGTTATGGCGAATAGCGACTTCTTATAAACTTATTATAGATTCATACAGTTGCTTCCATGCGTGTAAGCCTTCTGTAGGAATCATTTCATTACAGAAACTATCATCAGATTCAATACACGTGATGCGTTCCCAGATATCAAGTAACGACTTCGGCATTTTAGAAGGTGGTATGTTTTCTATCATTACTGTAATAAGCAGATTTCTGTCTTCTTGAAATATCTGCATTCTTGCCATGTCTAGTTCAAATTTCCCCCATTTACTCTCAAGATAATTCTTTGTTATCAAGACTAATATCTTTTTACTATTCTTCATGGCATCCATAATATTGTCAGCAATATATAATCCTGATAAAAAGTCTCGTTGGTGGATACACAAACTCAGACCCTTTTTGCCTTCCAAAAATGGCACAATTTTTGTTTTAACAATTTTATAATCTGATTGATGATAGGCAACGAATGCGTCATATTTACGCCTTTCAATCTCTGTATCACTATCATGAAGTATTCTGTATTTACGACGAATATTGTAATACCAATATTTAAGTGCCATTCTATACTTATACGACCATGCGACTATCATAATTAGTACTACGAGAGAAAATGTCAGAAGAGCAGAAATCAATAGCCATGTTTTTGCCATACAACTTACCTGAATTGTTTGTAGGTTACGATATGTCCATGATGTGGTAGTTAAGCTTCCATCGGTATATTGACAGGTATAGTTTGCAACATTGTCAAAAAATATCTTTCTTTCATTTAACCATTCAAGGAACGTAAGAGTTTCACAGTTACATTTTACTGGATTCTTGAAAAGGTAAATCATTAAATGCTTTCTTTCAGTCTGTCTTAAAGCTTCATCTATTTCATTCATGATGCTCTCTGGAAAATATTCTATTTTGTTAGATCTTAAATCCAAGGTGGAAAGTTTAGGGAAATCTTTGACATTTATAGGAACGTATGGGAGTTTGTTATTTCTTAGAATCAGTGTTTCCAATGATCTTTTCTGTTTAGTAAAAAGTTTCGTATTGATCAATTCAATTCCATTTCCCGTGAAATCAACGTATGAAAGATTCAACATATTATAAAGTAATTTTGAATATCTTTCCTTTGGTATCACGGATCTCAAGTCCGCTTTTTGTAAAACAAGTTTCTGTAGACTTGGAAAGAAGTTGAAAAAGTCCACCGCTAAATCAGAACATGATGATCCAGAAAAATTCAGCATTATTAAATTAGATAAACCACTCATAGTTCCGGCACATGATGTAAACTTATTATTAGCTAAATCAAAATGTTTCAATTTGTTTCTTTTTGAAAAGACGAGATCCAAGTTAAATTTGGTAGATATGTAGTTCTGGTTTGAAACATTTAGATATTCTAAATTTTTGGGAATAGGTATAGGCAAATGTATATTCTTACTTGTGTAGTTTGTTGTCAATAATTTGTTTATATTGATATGTGTTGAATAATATAATCTTTGTTTCGAAATGTCAATTTTTTTTAAATTCTTCATTGAAAAAAATGGAAGAATCATCAAGGGTGAGAAATAAATTCTAGGAGTTATTGCATTTTCTGCTAGATTTAAATTTTGTACGCAATGTATATATGGCATTGTTAATGGGTCACCTATCTTTATATCAAGTATTTGGTTTCGATGTACGTCAATAGTAGTTACACAAATACTTCCCAGTGTAACCATATTGTTCTTTGTTATAGTATCAACTTCGTTCGATCGATAATTCCGGTGAAGCAATAGAGATGACATATTACGGCCATGAAAAATATGAAAAGATGGTAATAAGCTCGATATCTTCAGAAACTTGTTTTCGCTGATATCTAGAGTTGTCAATGACTGAAGTGGCACAAAAGCATCCTTATCAACTGAAACGAGATGACACTTTAACTGCAGATACGATATAGACGAGTTTCTTAGATTAACAAATGTTTCATTTGTCAACTTTGTGTATCCACACGGTCGTAATGACAAAGATTCTAAATGTTGCAGCTTCCCAAATCCTGTTCCAAATACTTTGCCATCAAAACCATTTATAACAAGTTGGTTCAGGTAAATCAGATCACTTATCTGAACATCTGGGTAGTTTGTCATTTCCCCAATGTTATCATTCATACCTAAATACCTCAGTGATACAAGCGGATCAAAGACACCATTTGGTAATGAGTGATCTCCAAATGAGTTTTTCCCCATGTCCAGACATTCTAGTTCTGACAAGAAAACAAAGGCTTTTTGTTTTATTTCTTGTATTTTACAGTTCACTAATATCAAAATTCGCAACTGTGTCCACTTTGAGAAAGTATAATGCAATATAATGGGCAACAAATTGTCTCTAATGTCTAGAAAAGTTGTATTTTTTGGACATTGTTTCTGAATGTTAGCTATATCTTGTTTCCGACAAGTGCAGGTAATGTCATTGGTATTTTCAAAAATTTTACAATTTTGTTCTGCAAAAATAGCAAGAGAACTTACAGAGATGAAAATTATGAATGGAACATATAGGTCATTTGTTTTCATTTTTGCTTCAGTTAAATCTACAATAGAAAAAGGAAAGAAATTATGAAACAAAGCAATGTAGAAAAACCTTAATTTCTTATCTTGTTTGCTTAATTCGATATAAGAAGATGTGGTATGAGTGCCAATGAGACAACTCTCCCTCCAAGTCACAAGTTGGATGTAAAAATATTCTTCTATGTGTTTTCTTCTTTGACAAAGTGTAATAGTTCGCAGAACCGGAAAGGTACGTTGGAATGCACGATTGCTTGGAGTAAAAGATATGATTTTATACTTCATTGTTTAGCTCAAACATAAGAAACTTTAAAAAATACTAGTACTTAATGTTTGCCTATTATGCTCAAGGGGACAATTCTTTATCAAAGTTCTGCGTGTATACAGTCATGTGTTAGAATATTATGCATATATAAGATTTGAGTTTTTTAGAACTTTATGCATAATATTGTTTTATTCCTGATATCTACTGTTATTTGATATACATACAAAAGTAAAAAGTACGGGAAAATATTGATAGAGTCGGTATGAAGTTGTTTCATAACTAATATCTATAAAGCTCCAGTTTTTTTATAAACTTGAATCTGCAGTTGAAATGTATTTATGCATTTTACTGGATGAATGATAACTGTCAGTCCAAAATAGTATCAACTAGTATTAGCTATGAATTAGGTAGATATGAATTAAAGCATCCGCTACTTTGTACATTATATTCACATTTTACCAGTACTGGAGAAGCCCTGTAATTTTCCATTTCAAACTATATATTTCAGTCAAGTATACGCGATATCAGGGGTAGTCTTCTGATGATTTTGACAATTAGAGAATATATTTGAATAAACGGCAGAGTTGAGATAAAATCTTTTGAAACCCTTGGCGATTTAGAGCTTGGCACATTATATAGACATCAGCTTTTCTATTGTCAAAGACCGTATATATATTGACCTCTTAGGTTTTGAAATTTTCTGATGAAGGTAAAGTAAGGCGACATTAGTTTTTCGATGTTCAAATCGCGTACATCAATTAGGAAAAGACAAACTAAGGTAATAACAAAACTGAGGGAATCTCATGAACTTCAAACGGAACGAGACCAGCTCAGGAAATACGCTTAGATAACAACAAAAATTGTTTTAATTTTAATTTACTAGCACTGGGTCGATACTGCTGCTGATGTAGTCGTAAGACTCTCAAGACATTATGGTTAACAAAGTGTTGTACAAAACGCTTTAGAAAGAAAACCACTCGACTTTTAGGATTGAAGTATTCAATCTTTTTGTATCTTATTATTATATAATTTAGAAATGGAACCAGTGCTTCAAAAATGACATGATTTAAATACTTGATGATGCTATTTTTTGAAAAGCCTCGAATTGTGTTTTGTAACAAATTTCATTACAAATCATGGGTAGCAAAAAAATTATAACAAAAATACCAAAAAACTCCAAGGTGAATTCATAAAGGTGAATTCATAAAGGTGAAATCCTTAAAAACTGACATAATCAAACGTTATCAATCAAGGGAACGAGTGAAAAACAACTGTCATATTGCTGACTTGATACAGGCATTGTCCAAAAAAAATGTTGGGTTTAACCTGGTTTTATAGCTAGCTAAACCTTCCACTTGTATGACAGTTGTGTATAGTTCTGTTATATTGACAAAACTGGGGGAGCAACTAAAACAGACATAATAGGGATCCATCAACCAAAATTGTGTAAACATACATCACAACTGACTAAAAAAATTAAACAAACATACAAATAAATCTAACACCTCCTTGTAGAATGAATGTCCTACAGTAGTAATCAGTGCTTCAGTACTTACATGGAATTAAAGATTTAAAACCAAATTATAAATTAAGCGTCAACAATCGCGTCAAGAAAATTAAAAGACATCACATTAAAGTTAAGGGATTAAACGTAATTATAAAAACAAGGCAATGGTGTGTAATTTCTGATAAGACAACTATCAGCAAGAGACCAAATGACATGAATGTTAGCAGCTATATGTCACCGTATGACCTTCAACAATGAACATAACCAATCCATACCGTTTAGTCTGATATAAAAGGCATGGCAAAATTTGTAACAACTCAAACGAGAAAACAAACGTCCTGATTTATAACCAAAAAAATAATGAAAAACAAATATCACCGACATTAACCAACTCCAGGAACATATAAGAACAAACTGTAACAAAATCAGTTTGAAATGGCATATCTCAATAGATTGGTACAAAGCACAAAAACAACAAACATAAATAATAAACACAAAAATGACCGATCTAAGAGTACTCGCAGTTATTGAAAGCTATTTCAAAGCCAATTACAACTTATAAGTAAATCATATTCTCACAGACTATATTAGTCAATTCAAAAAAAGATTATACCTTCAAAAGATTCCTTATGATGCAGAATATCTGTGGTATGTGTTACTCTAGTGATTATAATGATAACATTAGGGAATAATATTTTCAATGTATTCATAATTCAGCTCTGGTATATCGTATCAACTGGGAGATGTATGCTTCATTTTCAGGCGCAGCTGGAATATTGCTAAATAGAAACGGAAAGTTCACAATTGGGAGGCTGATATAATTAATTTCGACGTAAAGTGGTATCCTTCATTTCAATTTCAAGGGGATATATGAGTTCATTGTAGTCACTAAACTTTGAATTATTTATTGAGAGAGCATTATCTATATGGCGGATGTGAAGTTATATGATAATAATAGCTTCTTTCCATTCTACCTGAGAAACTCTTGCCTGCTGAAAAACACGTCCTCCAAACGTAACAAATATATTGTGGCGGTTAACGGTTTTTAAGTATAGATCTTTTAATTCCTTTAAATGTAATTTTAAAGTAGAGAAAATCTACTGAAAATATATGTGAAGGATGTGTGTCACAAATTATTGGACAATCAAAAGTGAAAAACGCACTTGGCAAAATAATTTTAATAACATGCCGCCTATAAACGAAATATATTGATCTGTGAGTTATTCAGATTTAATGTATAAAAAGTAAAATAACAAAAGTACCGAACTCTATTGAAAATTCAAAACGGAAAGTCTATTATCAAATGGCAAAATCAAAAGCTCAAACACATCAAACGAATGGAAAACAACTGTCATATTCCTGACTTGGTACAGGCATTTCCTTATGTATAAAATGGTGGATTAAACCTGGTTTCATAGCTAGCTAAACCTCTCACTTGTATGACAGTCGCATAAAATTCCATTTTATTGACAACTATGTGTGAACAAAACAAACAGGCATAATAGGTAAAAATGTTAAAAATAGGGGTACAGCAGTCAACATTGTGTTATCATCTTAATATCTATATAAACAAACAAATATGTCAACAAGGAAAAACAAAATGGCATAAAGACAAAGCACATAAGCAAAATTGAAAGACAAGAATACAAAAAATGACCATAGCACAATAACACAATGGCGGGATGTATAAGTACCGAGCCACGCCAAAAGGATATAACCAAAAATGGACTAAACAGTAAAGGTAAATAATTTACAAAGACAAATAAAAGAACCCTATAACACGTTATTAAGATGATGAATAATGTCAGTACCTAGAATCTATACTTCAAGACCATCATGTATTATTTGTGAAGTTGATACGAAATATTTATCAACAAGGTCTTGGTATCTTCCGATGAACTTTTTTTTTTAGAAAAAAGGACGAGACGTTATTTGACGTAACCCTGGTTCATCAACTTTTTGCTCAAACACTGGTTAAAACAAACCTTAAGTCAATCTAGGCTTCTGTGGTCATTGGTGGTCTAGATCCTTTTTTTATATAAACATAGGATCAACTGGGGCGAATAAGTGAAAACTTTATAAACTTT